GGCAAGATTTGTGATAAGATCACTAGTTAACACCACTGGGTTTGGAAGAGAGGTTGGGACCTGCAGCATAAAAGTAGAAAAGACAAGAGAAACTTTTGAGAGGTCCAGAGACGGAGGTAGATAAAACGGCCAAAATTCTAAGATAAACTGCAAGCTATATAGGCTGTAATTTTTATTGACTTTCCACCTACTCAAAGTGAAGCATGAATATAAAACCTACTATTTTCTAAATGCTCTACCACTCATACATATTAAAATTGTGTAAGAAAAATGATGCTGCCAATTATATGATTGTCTAACACAAACTACCAAAATATTACACGAACAAACTACTGAGTAAGAATATAAAATGACATAAGGTAGAATTAGTTATAGAAGATAAGAGCCCAGCATAGCACACAATTTCCAAATATTATAGCATACTAACTTTTGAATAAAGCAGAATCATAAAGTGACTATCCAACATAAAACTGTAACAAAGCAAATGGGAGATAAAATATCAGGATTTCAAAAAGACACCTCTGATCCTTTAGTTAAAAGAGCACTTTAAACATTTAGAGCTTTTTGGCTTTGGTAGTAGAAGCCACTAGTGTATTATATATACATATTTTTGTATAGTACATCAACAGTTTATTAGAACTTTTTAGTGTTAATAAAAGGGTTGACAGAATTCATATAATTTTATGACACTTGCCATCAATGGCAAAACACTGACTTCATAATACAGTCTCAGTTTTTATAAGAAAACCAGAAACATTGCATTTCTAGGAATGAAATACAAATTGATATATTTCAACATTATATTGATAAAGACAATTATGAGCGAACAATGGCTGACCTAATGGCTTAGCTTAATTATTCTATTTCTCTTCAATTAACTGGAGCCAGAATTTTGGCACCAAAATTTGTACAGACTTTTGAAGATAATGATAATTTGCTTTACATATTTTATGAAAAATAAACACACTCACTCTGTACTTCTCTACATACTGAGGCTTTTCAGAAAATCAAAGATCCACTGATGTTTAAATTTTAAAAATCTCTAATACTGCTTGCAAATTTCTATTCACCCATTACTATGACTGGACACAGAAGTATATTTTGCTAGTCAAACAGACCCTTACCTTGCATTGGACAAAAAACACAATGAAACCTACTACAAAGACAACAGGTTACACACACACGAATACTGTAGAAACATATAAATTGCTCCGTGTAAGAAAGTATTGTAAAACTTTGCTAATATTGTGACTGAAATGTTTAATTAATGCAATAATAGTTTCAATTTAAAGCAGTGAATTTGGCCACTTTTATAAGTGATGAGGTGTAACAGACTTCCAGACCTTAGAAATCTGCAATCTAGCTAGTGTTCTACAGACCTAGTCACTATAGACTCCAGGTATTTCCTAAATATTTAAAGCTGGAACTAACAACAACAAGCTCGCTCTCTCTTCCACAATGGCCTTTTGGAGAAATAACTTCATTAAGGTAAAAGATTTTTGTCTGCTTGTTTATGTCTGTGTATATGTAGATATCTGGTGCGCAGAAACTGAAAGGTGCATAATTTGTATTTAGTTTTAAAAACTATTATACCAATTTCTTAAAGGACTGACTTTCAGAATTGAGGGCTAGCTCCTGTAAAAACGTATGCATGCAGTTGACAATATCACCCATTATGTATCAAGGAATGTCGAGGTCATGGGAGATCATGATCACCAAGGCAGAGGGTCTCTCAGAGGTAGCTAGGGCCAGTCCCATGGAAGACTTTGAATATCAGGCCAAAACACACTGTACTAGATATTGTAGTTCACTTAGTTGCCAGCATGGAACAATTGAGTTATGTGTTAATGGCAACCCAAAATGCTAAGCAGACCAGTGCTATGTTTTGTATCAGCTCAAGCTATTTTTGGATGTGTGGCTTCATTCGTAGATACAAAATTAAATAAGCAAGGCTGTAGGTCATAAAGGAGTGGATGACCCTGGACAGGTATTTCATAGAATCAAGAGAGACCAAAAATGATATGCTGACCTCTCCATATATGCAGCACTTTTTGTCAACTATGACACAGTATTGACAAGGTTTTGAAAGAGAGAGTCATCTCTAGGCAGGAAGCCAAGAATACAAAGAAAAAATAGTCATTATAGATGCTAGTTTTGTGGAGACATTGTTTATTCAAAAATGGAGATCTTGAAAACAAGAAGCAGTGATGGGAGTAGAAAAACATCTCTCCGTGAAGAAAAAAAAGGGACAAAAGAGAAAGATTAGTTGACCATTTTGTGACTTTGGAACAGCACCACAATTCTTGGCTCCTGAACTGAACACTTGTCATAGATATTAGTCATTTTTCATCATCCAATTCCTTTTATTTTCTGACCTTTACCCCTCCATTTACTCTTGTGACAATCTTCTTCTGAAATTACTGCGATGTTGAAGTGACACCAGTCAAAAACAGAGGTAAAAAGAAGTTCTCTTTGCCAACAGCCTGTAGGCTCGCAAAATTGAACCTGTTCTTTTATCTGCCTATGTTCATTTAGCCCACCAAGCAGTCTTTATTAAAGCTGAGGCATCAGGCAGTCAAAGTTCATTAATACCATTTATATAATCTCTGCAGTTTCAATTAACTCAGCAAGACACTCTACTACATGATAACAGTCTCATTAATTCAATAAAATCCCATAACTATTAACAATATGGTCTATGTTAAACGGGGTGTCACCTAGTACAAAATAATAGCTTTAACAGCTTGTGATGAAACTCAGGGTGTTTTTTTTTAATTTGATCTAGCTAAATATTCAAGCCTTACGTAGCAAGGTATTTTTTCTCTGTGAGGAATCTAAAGGATTTTAAACATGAACAGGGGTAATTAAGTCCTTTTAAGTCATATCAAAGAGTGAAATTATACTTCTTATTTAATAAATGATACATTAAATTAGCTAGAATGTGATCTTTCCTCTCCCTCATCATCTCATCACAAATACTCTGGCCTAGAAATAAGGAAGGCTGGGTACTGTTCAAGTGTTTTCCACAACACTGCCCTGAAAAATATGGCTTGCTGATCTAATTTTTTTCTCTCCATGACATAAGGTAGCTCTCTATTCACAGGCCATCAAAAATTTAAAATAGCCAGCTGATAGATATTCGCTGCTTTTATTAACTATGTATTTGATTTTCAATACCATCTATAGGACAGTGCTTGTAACTTGCAACTTGAACTCAGATTTGCCAATCTTTTCATGAGACTCAAATCATTTCCTAACTTAGGGATGGAATGGTTCCAGAACATGTATAAGAATACAATATTAAAACTAATTGTAACTCATCAACTCTGAATTTGTCATAAATCATTTTCTGTCTACTGACATTTTGTGTACAGTTTAGTCCTTGTCCATCATAACTCATTTCTTAGTCTCAGCATACTACATTAAGTTACTTGAAAGTAAACAAAATATTTTTATTTCTATGTTTCTTTCACTACTGTTCTTGAGTCTTGTTAAAGTAATTTAAACATAATGGTTGTTTTAAAACCTTAAGAGCAAATGATGAACTTAGCTTTCATCCTAAAATAAATGCACAGTTGGTACAGTTGAAATATATTTTCTATCATTTAATAGTAAATACTGGTTTGGGTACATGTTCTGTGTAGCAATATAATGGAACTCATTAAAATATAAATAGATAGCTATAGCTATAGATAGATTGATAAAAAGGAGTAAAAACTTTTCACTACATTGCATGATATTTTGGTGCTGTAGTATACAGTCAAAGACTAAACAGAGAATGTACATTAGGTCTGCATCATGTTTTAGAAACCACTGAAGAATTTCAAATGTCATGTATGTGGTAGAACTGCTTGATTATCCCTTATCAACCCTTTAAACTTCTTTATACTGTTATTCAGTATCATAGGGTATGTCTGCACTACCACCCTAGTTCAAACTAGGGTGGTAATGTGAACTACCGTTACTCCTCGTGGATCGCGGGGCACGGAGTCTGCACTAGCGGACATTTAAAAATGGCGGCACCCGCAATATGCAAATGAAGCCCGGGAAATTCAAATCCCGGGCTTCATTTGCAACTCCGGTTGCCTACATTACCACCCTAGTTCGAACTAGGGTGGTAGTGTAGTCATACCCATATATATTAACAATGATGCATATATTCAGAATTTATCCATCTAAGCACAGAAAAGCTTTTAGTTTAAAAAAGGTTGTCAATAAACATTCAGAAAAGTTGGAAGATGAGATTTGGCATCATACAGAAGACAATTTGAAGGAATGTCTTATCATGAGGAGGAAGCATATGTGCTTGAATGAGCTTACTTTTCTTACCATGCAGCTGACAAGCAGCTCTTTGATTGCTTTAGTACTATGATACAGCTTTGGATACAATAAAACCTGCATTATTGTTCAATCATTTGTCAAACTCTATAGAAAATGTTGACTCAATGGATGCCACCTGTATGATATTTTCATTACCTGTTTATAAAGCAACTGCTCGTTTTCTCTAGCATAACAGAACAGAACATCTGTAAGAATTTTCCTCACACTCTCCTGCTGGAAATACTGCATTTCAGGAAATCTGAAAAAAAGAAAATCATTCTATTAATGTAAATTATATACCTCACAAAAACTATTTCAGACACTTGATTTAGATATACACCTGGGCATCTATAAACAGTTGTAGGTAAGCTATTATGTCAGTTCTCCATTACCCATTTTTTTCTGCGTATTGAGGTTCTGCTGGAAAACAATTATAGGAAATAAAGGAAAACTTTGAACCTTATAATTTAGCATATAGCAAGCCTCTAAGTATCTATCACAATAAATTCATGATATCCTATGATTAAAGACTTGAGTTAAACAAGAATGAAATTACATGACAGGAAGATTGTTCTATGTACCAAATTTTTTGTAAGTAACCAATCTACTGAAAAGACTGCACCTTACCTGAGATGGGGGAACATTGCCCAGGTTTGCTGAAGGAAGGTAGTAGTGCTTTATCAGGGGCCGGGAGGAGAAGAGGAATGGGTAGAAGGAGGTCAGAAACTGCTGTAAAAAGGTGGCCAGAGGTGAGCGTGGCAATGCTGACCATCCTCTGGTAATGTAAAGGTTGAAGGTTATAAAAGGTGCAAGTCTTGATGTTAGAAGCCTTTTCTCTAAGCAGCAAGCAAGGCAGCACTCACCCTCCCGCCCCTTGAGGTACAAATATAAGGTTGAGTTAGGACCTGCTGTGGGCATTGCACTAGTCACTCCTTTTCATGAGGGCTGGCCTTACCATGAGTTGAACTGAGGCAGCCACCTCAGGTGCCAGACTGTGGGATGGAACCATTAGAACCCAGAGAATTGAGACCTTTCAAAGTTTTGGCCCAAGTGAGGGGTCATAGGTGCCAAAATGTTGTAGGCCGGCCCTGTCCAGCAACACCCTTTTGCTGCTAAAGGAGTTTTTTCACCTTCCCCACAATGGATGTCAGGGAAGAGTATTATGGTGAGGGGAAAAGGGAGGTTGGGCTATATGTCACAACTTGTTTTCTAAGTGTGGGGGCAGATGTCCAATGCAGGCACTTCACAGGCAAGGCACCCAGTGACAGATAAATGTCCTAGTAAAGGGTTTGGAAAGAATGTGCTGGTTAAAGGAATGGAACCAGGAGGGGTTCAGGGTCCCTATGATTGCAACAGCAGGGAACCAACACTCATTTCTGGGGGCAGAGAGGGGTGCATTGGTAAGATCCAAGCCATGGGTTGGATGGAGGTGGATGGTGAGGTACAAGCCATGGGTTGTGTGGCAGACCAGAATGGAAAATGGGGGAGGGGGACAGACAGGTGGAAATCTTGAGTAGTTATTTGTATGAACATGGAGTTGTCTGAACCATACACTTTTATTTGTGCTTAGTCCCAGACATCTATTAATAAACTTGCAGTCTGATTAAATCCATATCAAGTGCCTCCTATCTGCCTTTTGGCATAGCCAGACAATAACTGACTGGGAGAAACTAATCCACAAGATAGTGTGTCTCATAAAAATAGGATGCCCACTTCCAGAGTACCAATGTATGGCAGTCTGATGACATTTCCTTGAAGAGATGCTTGCTTTGCCTTAAAGCCACGCCTGGCTCAAGTAGCAAATACGAAGATGGACCGAGTGAGATAAGAGAGTGGGGAAGCATCTGCCAAAGCCAGGGGGAGAGGAGCTTATTCCCTCTATACCTAGACTCCTGATGTAAGCTCTAGCAAACCAGGGACTGTGCTGTTCTCAGGAGTTGATCTATGACCTGCCACCACATCCACAATTGCAACCTTCTTTCAGTTTGTGCCCATTGGCTGATCAGTTCTTCAGTAAAGGAGTCAAAAATAGCTCAGAATGTATTCATATGACAGAAAAGACTATTAGTCATTAAAGCTTTTGATTTCAATTATGAGGATAATGAATTAAATACAAGGCCTCAAATAATGAAAATATATTTGCTTGAATTCTTTGAATGTGACTCAGATTGCCGACTGCAACTGAAATATCAGCACTATCCTTCTATTTCAAGATCAGCAGGCTGTCCTGATCTCTATTTTCAAGATTGAAAAATGGGCAAAGGAAGCCATTAAAAACAGTGCAACTCATACTTTAGCTGATCTGTAAATTGTCAAAATGGTATACGGGGAGTATAATTGAGGAAATTAATATATATCAAAGTTCAATAATTTGTGCTTATTTTTGTGGAGTCAATGAATTTTTATAAAAAGGGATGTTGTAATAAATGTTTTATTATGCCATGAAAGTGTCTAAGACAATGTTCAAGAAACACACAAAATCTGGAATCTGATCAATAGATAAGTAGAGTTGCATTCACAACTGAAGAAATAATAAGAGTTCCTGAAGTTCTTGATGTCTAGCAATCACCCATTTATCCTAATCCTCTTGAAATTTTATATAATGCCTAACAACCTTTTATTAGATTTTTCAAAAGTGACACTCTCTAGGAGACCAACTTAATTTCAATTACTAGATTTTTTTCAAATATAAAATTAATGACAGGTAAGAACGAGCTATGAACAAATATTAAAAAAAAACCTATAGAGGCAAGAAACAGATGATATCAGAAGGTTGGTGTAAATCCTGTTGCCCAGCAATCCAGGGCAATACAAATATCAATATATAACTACTGATAAGAAATATATTCTGGTACAATCTGCTTCTTGGACATTCAAATGAGAGGCAAACAAAGATAAGTTATATAAGATATTCCTCAAAAAATAAGCCCACACTAAAGCAGCCTTTGAGAAGGCTCCACATTTGCGAGAAATAGTGACTAACACAGTATCAAACAAGTAGGGTATAGTGCAGAGAACTGGACAAAGGAATAGAGAACACCTCAAAAGATAACTAAGAACTGCAGTGTCTATTGGGTAGCAGGATGACTGGTGACTCCTATTCCTGAAAGTCTGCTTATTTTTTCGAGTAATTAAAATAAACACACAGCAGTGGCTGACAACTCTCAAAGAATGCCTTGTGTTTAAGCTTTCACTTTCCAGGCTGTGAATAAGTGCATATGTGAAACCTGGTTGTGTGTGCACAAGCAAATATTTTGTGTATATTACAGAGGAACAATGAACATAACACAGTCATTCATATGCTTTTACTGTCCACCTCTAAAAGTGTGAAAATATAAACACAAGCTGCTATTTTGCTGTGATCACCCAAATATGGCAGGTTTTTCTTCTTTAACATTAGAACACTGGGCAAATTATCAAGATTAACACGCCAAAATCAATTCTATTCAATTACTCATGAAAATGTTTTTGCTTCAGTAAGATTAAAAATAGGATACTGAGGGAGAGATATGAGGGTTAAGTTGCTCCTTTAAAATATCCAAAATTTTGTGTAAACATACATTTTTAACATAAAACTGAATTATGTTTTTAAAGGGTGTGTCTAAACTACATGGCTCCATCAATGGAGCCATGTAGATTAGGCTGATCGGCAAAGGGAAATGAAGCCGTGATTTAAATAATCGCGGCTTCAT